AACATATTCATGGGTTTTAGGAATGAGGATATGGGAATCTTTGTGGAGCAATTATTCAGTCTACCTCAGAGGTAGAATATGTCTCCCTGGCAAACATGCCAGCTTTGATAAGTAAAGAAAAAACATAATTGACCATCATTCTCCTGATTCTTGTCTATATCTGCCCCAAGGGAAAATCCTCGTTTTCCATTGTGCCTAGGGGCACCTGTACACGTGCTTGGCTGTACATGTTCATCAGGTGGTGGGTAGCAGAGACTCGCAAGTTATTTTTTTGGCAATGCATCAAACGAAAGAAGAAATTTTTCAGTCTCTTGAGATTATAGAGGTTATTGAAAAGGTTAGTGCAGAAAGATGTTATTGAGTGCAGCGGAGTGAACCCTCCTTGCTGAGATTTACAGGATCATTTTGAAAATTAGTGTGATCCTGGGTTTGAAATTGCCTGTCACATATAGACACTAGGAACTTTTGTTGATTAGCAAAGATATTTGATATTCTCAGAAACTCCTCCAAGACTTAAGAGGGCTGTTGTCACAATAAATGTATAATAGTAGCTTTTATTAAGCATTTACTATTGTAATAGTTAATTGGACAGACTGCAAGTGCTCATCCACTTTGTGTCTTGCTTTCCATCCGTGGTTCATATGGAGACTACATTGCCAGTCCACTTGTAGTTAGGAAATGTCATGTGACTACCCTTGACACTGAAATAAGAACAATAGCCTGTTTTTTTTTTCCTTTGAGATTAAAGTGCTTGAGAGTCAGTCTGCCACCTCCATGTTTTCTGTTCCATGCTGAGATATGGAGCCACATTAAAGAAGCAGCATGGATCCCTGGGACACCTGACAGCAAAAAAAAAAAAAAATCCTTATTAATTCGTGTCAAATTTTATTTGCATAAAAGATAAACTTTTAGTGTGCTAAGCCATTCAGATTTCAGACTTTTCCCCTTACATCTCTTACATACTTTATCTGTATAATACACAGCTATGAATTCCATTGCTATTCTTATTTAAATATTTTAATTACAAAGAAAATAGTGCACGAATTCTTGTTGCCAAAAATTCTAACCATATGAATAAATCAAAATTTCACTTCCTTACTATGTCCCTCCAAAATCCAGTCCCTCCTCAAATGTAACCACATATTTTAAATCCTGCATGTAGTATTTTTAAATGTATTCTAGGCTTTTTCTTCTATACATGTGCTACAAAAATACACTGTGAGGGTTTTTTGTTTGTTTCTTTTGTTTACTCCTTTTTCTTTTTAATTTTTGTTTATTATTACTATTATTTTTAGAGATGGTGTCTCTGTTGCCAAGGCTGGAGTGCAGTGGTATGATCATAGCTCATTACAGCCTACAACTCCTGAGCTCAAGCAATCCTCCTGTCTCAGCCTTCAAGTAGCTAGGAGTACAGGTGGAAGCCACTGTGCTTGGCCACTGTGGGTTTTAAATATACACTGATAACTGTTTACATATTGCTCCACAATATGCACCTAAGGACACATGCCTTAGAATTTTGATATTTCAATAATGCATTTCTCTTTACTTTGAGAAGAAAGGATTTACTCAGAATGACAAGGTTCCAGGAAATGTGCCTTAACAGGAAAACCTCAGTTCATGAAGGACATCAGGAAAACTGGGCACTAGCACAATACGAAGGATACATGAGAGAGATCACAAGCTAAACAAAGTCCAGAGAACTCAGGGCAGGGGGTAGTCAGGGATCTGTACCTAGAGTTCAGCATGGAGTAGCAATGGGACTAGAAGGAGTAAAGGTAAGAAAAGGTGGTGTCTTGGACACTTTTATGAATAGGCTTGGCAATCTCCGAATCATCATTACCAGCATAAATTTGTAGGCTGACCTGGCCAGAGGCATACTCTACCAGAGTCTTCCCTTCCCACTTTTCAGGCAGAGTATGGCTTGCTCCCCTGCGTCACCCAGTGATGCTATTGATTCTGGGACAGCTACATCTCTTCACTTCCATGGTGGCTCAGTGCACCCTTTCCAGTGAAGCAGAGTTGAGAGCTGTCTTGATGCCTGATAAGAAAGAGTATATATTCCCCTTGTGTATGTGGTTCTCCCACCACTGAGGTTGAAGCTGTACAAGTTGATGTGATTGGTGATTAATGGTAGTTAAAAGAGGGCAAGTAATACCAATGAGTAGTGCCACAGTGTAGATTCAAGGAGGGGGACATTTGAGGAGGGATTTCCTGATACTAACTACCTCACTGAGTGTAAATAAAGGTTGAGTGTGGATATGTCTTTAAAAAAGGATCCAGATGTTATCCGCAGCCCAGAATACTTCCCACCATCACTGACTTCTTTGAAGAACAGAGGGCGGATTTTTGTTGCTGTGTCTGATGGCCTTTGTTGCCACCAAACACTTCAGTAGGGTGCTGGTATTCAAGGCAAGTAGGGTAGATGGAGAACCATTGTACATGCTACAGTTCCTTATTGAATTGACTGCAGGTAACAAGTATAGATGGAGTCCAAATCTCTATCTTCATTACTGTTATAATCCTGACCTGATTTAACTGAAAATTTTTATAAAGGGGGATTCTTCACTAGCCGTCTGCAAAGTTATCACATGATCTATCGTAAAATTTACATCACTTCTCACTGTGAGGTGGGGGCATTGGACTGGGTGTCATTCTCCTGGTCCTTTTCCACAGAGGGAGGAGTCCCAGACTCTGAAAGGAATAAAAATGAAGACCTCGATGAAGCTTTGAGTCACCCACTCCATAACAGACTGCCCAGCACAGAGACCACCCCTACTGTTAACATTTCTAAGCCAATGCCTTGATGTTAGGTCCAGAAACCTTATCACTTCACCCTCTGTAGTCCAGGGATATGGGACTGCAGGATGAAGTGGTTGGGGATGAAGGCTTTGTTTTAAAGCTGAGTGACTCAGATCAGGAGAAGGAGTCCCAGCCTCTCTTCCAGAATCAATGAAAGACCCCTATGCAAGTACTATCAGAATTCTGCACTCCCACAAAACATGGGCCACCCCCTCACTTCTAAGAGCTGCACCCCTGCTCTCAGCATTAGGTCCCATACGGGGGTGGCTAGAATTGGCTTCCCAACTCTGACTCTAACTTCTCAGATGAATGAAGGCCTTACGCTTTGAGAAGGGTAGCCTCAAATCAGCAGAAAAGAGAGTTCCAGAGATTTCCAGGCCCTGTCAGGAGTTAAGTTAAAGATCTTAAGTGAGATCTGAGGACACTCTTTATACAAGAAGAGAGACCGGCCAACAGAATCCCAGCCCTGTGTAAGCCCCGGGATGCCCTGGACGGGGATCCTCTGATGTAATGCCCTTTGAATTCCCAGAATTCCGGGAGGTGACAGCATTGAACCACGCTTTGGAATCAGACCAGTAGGGAGCGGGGTTCCATGTCTTCCAATAGTGATGGTGAAGACCCTAATATTTGAGGCAACCATCCACACCAGATCAGAAAGACCCCACAGCCTCCAGGCTCCTGCTGTCAGGCCTGAGAAGCCCATGAAGGGAGTGGCCAGATGTAACATTCTGAGTTCCACCTCTGGAGTTTTAGGGAAGTTAAAAAATTGGCGCCAGAGGGAGGTGTTAAATCAGCAGAGGGAGGAGTCCCAGGCCCTGCCAGGAGGTGAGATAAAGATGCTTTGTGAGGTTTTAGGGTAATAGCCATTCCCTTGCTGTTAGTGGTAGCAGACCTTGGGCAAAAAAACCTCTTATATAGCACCCTCTGAATTACTCCTTTGGAAATTCAAGAAGACAACATTGGATCAAGGTTACGGCCTCAGGCCAGCAGATGGAAGAGTCCCAGGCCCCAAAAGAAGTAAAAGTGAGGAAACTGAGTGATATCAGAGGAAACCACCCCCCAGAAAAGAGAGGGGTTCATAACAGAGCCTGCCCCTGCTCTCAGCCCAGGGAGGCCCCAGGTGGGAGTGGCTATTGTGACATATTCTGACTTCCATTACTGCTTTCTCAAAGAAGTGAAGAGGTTTAGGTTGTTATAGGAGCTATTTCCAAGCCTTGCCAAAAGGGAATATAAGGATCTTGAGTGAAGTTTGAAGGAGACTTCCACTCCAAAAGACTGGGACCCCATGGATTCATGACAGGTCCAGGACAGGGCCTGATGAAGCACCATCTGAATACTGGTGAGAATTCAGGGAAGGGAGGGCATTAGACTTGAGTCTCAGCTTCTTGTCAGCAGAGGAGGAGTCCCAAGCCCTAAAAAGAGGAAAAAGAATCCTGAGTTCTAAAGGAACCATCCACTCCAGATCAAAAGGGGACAGCACAGGGTCCCACCTATGCTGTCAACCCTGAGAGACTGTGGGGTAGATATGTTAGGCTGGAGTCTCTCTCACTTTCTCCTTTTGGAACCACAGATGTGAAGGCCTTGCTCTGAGGGGATAGGTCTCAGGCCATCACAGGGTAAAGTCCCAGGCCCTAGCAGAAGCCAAGGTGAAAACCCTAAGTGAAGAATGAGAACACCAAGGATCCGAGAATATAGGAGGTCCTTCAGAGCTTTTCTATTGTAGTCATCCTGGATGTCCTCAGGCGGGTGTGGTCAGATGAATTTCTCTTTCACTTTCTCCACCAGGGTAGCACGGAAGTGAGGGGACTGAAATGAGGGGTCAGTAAAGGGATCCCAGAATTTGCCAGAAATCAAGAGGACAGTTCTGAATGTGAACTAAGAAGAGTCCCTACCCAAGAACAAAGGAGCCTCCATAAAGCCTGGACCTGCCAGGCCTTGCTGTCACCACCCAGTAAACCCCAGGCAGATCTGGCAGGTAGAAACCTAAAACACACCCTAGTTATTTCACAGAGTACTCGGGGCAGGCAAATCAAATAATAGGGGCCTGTTTTTCCTTGAGTAATGCACCAAGAAAACTTGCAGAGGTAGCCATCAATAAAGCTAAAGTTGTATCTCTGCTGAATGGGAACACACCAGCTCATCTCACCTCCAGGTCACAGGATCACCTGCTCTTTTGGCTGCTGCACCTGAAGACAGTCATCATGCCTCGAGGTCAGAAGAGTAAACTCCGTGCCAGGGCAAAACGCTGTCAGGCCCGAGGAGGGCTGGAAGATCTGTTAAGTGCTCTGGCCATTTTAGAAGAGGAGGAAGAACATCCCCTCTCCTCTTCTGTTTGTTTGAAGGATGTCCCAGCATTCACTTGATGGGACATCCAACAATCCCCATGGACTTTCGGGAGCCCCATCCACCAGTGCATCTGCTACGGCTGTTTCACACACAAGACATACCGAAGGTTTCAACAACCAAACGGAAGAAAGACCAAGATGCACACAAGATCCAGAAGCCACTGATAACTTTCCCAGAGGCCTTCTAGGTGAGAAAGTAGTTATGTTGGTGCATTACTTGCTGTTCAAATACCAAACGAAAGAGCCCATTACAAAGGCAGATATGCTGAGAAATGTAACCCAAATGTCCAAGAGCCAATTCCCTATAATTCTGAGCAGAGCTTCTGAGCACCTAGAGCTGATCTTTGGTCTTGACCTGAAGGAAGTGGAGCCTAATAAGCACATCTATGTTCTTGTCAACAAACTAGACCCGGGCTGTGATGTAGGTTTCAGCGATGAGCCAAGCGTGCCCAAGACTGGCCTGCTGATGACTGTCCTGGGTATTATCTTCACAAAGGGTAATTGCGCCACTGAGGAGCAAGTCTGGAAAGTGCTTAATATGATGGGATTACATGACGGAATTGAGCACATCGTTTTTGGGGAGCCCAGGAAGCTCCTAACCAAAGATTTGGTGAAAGAAAATTACCTGGAGTACCAGCAAGTGCCCAATAGTGATCCTCCATGCTATCAATTCCTATGGGGCCCAAGAGCCCATGCCGAAACCAGCAAGATGAAAGTTCTTGAGTTTTTGGCCAAGATAAATAATGCAGTTCCCAGTGACTTCTCGCCCTGGTATACAGAGGCTTTGCAAGATGAAGAAGAGAGAGCCAGAGCCAGAGTGGCAGCCAAGGCTCGCATTACTGCCATGGCCCATGCACGTTCCAAGGTTAAGTCCAGCAACCCCTCCCAACTGCAGTAAAGTCTGAGGCAGATTCTTTACTTTGTGTTTGAAAAGAAATCCACATTCTGAGCTATGGGTGGACAGTGTGGGGCTGGAGACAGCACAGTGAATAATATGTTTGTGCTCATGTTCTATGTGGTGACTTGGAATTTTTTTAAGATGTTCCTTTAATAGATGGTTAAAGTATCATCAGTATCTAAGTTTATGAATGACATTGCTACATTTTTCTGTATGTGAGATTAAGAGTAAGCGATTTATTGTTTTATAAACCTAATTGGGAAACTCTTCATTTATTTAGGGATTGAAACACAATAGCATGATAGTAAATTAGGCATTTTCTAATTCAATGTGAAATAATTTAGGAGTGTAATAAATAGGATCAAGGAATAGAGAAAAGAGTAAAGGATGGCTAATTATTGCATTCCCTATTGACTTTTATTCTGTTATTATGTAAAATTAAAATATACATGCCAGGATAGGCTTACATTATTCAAGAATATATAATTAATTACATTATAATAAATTAGACCTTTTGCACATTGGCTCATTTATTCCTCAAACATTAATTGAGTATCTGCTCTTTGGAAGGCCTTGTGCTAGGATGTCAGGATAAGGAAGATCTACCTGTGCCCATTGGGTTTTAGAATCTAGGAGTAGATATTATATAAGGAATATGGTGAGATAACCACTAAGACCTAAAGGACAAGTTAAAGAAAGTGAGAATGTAGGGTGAGGGTTATCTAGGTGACAGCATCAAATAAAAATGCCTTAAGGCAAGTGGGATTGGAGGCTTGGAAAATTGAAAGTCTTTCAGTGTAAATCAGTTGTGTGTGTGTGTGTGTGTGTGTGTGTGTGTGTGTGTGTGTGTGTCTCACTCTTGTCACCCAGGCTGGAGTGCAGTGGTGGGATCACAACTCATTGCAGCCTCAACTTCCTGGGCTCAGGTGATTCTCCTCCCTCAGCCTCCTGAGCAGCTGAGACTACAGGTGCATGCCACCATGCCTGGTTAATTTTTCTATTTTTAGTAGAGATAGGTTTCGCCATGTTGCCCATGCTGTTCTCCAACTCCTGGACTCAAGTAACTGCCTGCCTCAGCCTTTCAAAGCGCTGGGATTACAGGTGTGAGCCACTGTGCTTGGTTGGTCAGGTTAGGCTCTGAGAGTGGTGAGCACTGGCTGTTCTCTCTGAAGACATGTCCAGGGTTGAAAGTCTAAGGTCTGGAATGGACAAGCAGTTATAGCACTTGCTTGGGCTCGTGGATAAACCGGAAGGAAATCTTCATCTGGGACAGGAATGAAGGATTTCCTGTGCTCCCCTAACTCCAGTGCAGTTGAACACAGACCACAAACCATGTGTTCTGTGTACAGCATCTCCAGCAAGTTTCTGAGAAATAAGAGTAATACTGTTTTAACATGGGATGCTCAGAAGCCACTTTACTGACACTCTTTGCTCTGGCCTGGGAAAGACGGAGCCTGTTATTTTATTTTGTGTTGCTATAATAGACTGCCAGAGACTGGGTTACTTTTAAGGAAAATAATTTTTTTCACAGTAGTGGAGGCTGGAAAGTCCAAGATTGAGGTGTTTGGTGGCACCTAGGGAGGGATGTCTTGCTGGGCCATCCCATGGCAGAAAGTGAGGCAGTGAGAAAGAGAAAGCAAAAGAAAAAGGGATCAAATATACCTTTTTGAAACAAACCCACTCTTGTGATAAAGGTATTAATCCATTTATAAGGGAACAGTTCTCATGGCCTAATTACTTCTCATCAGGCCCTACCTCACAATACTGTTGGATTGGGGATTAAATGTCTACCACTTGCCTTTCTGGGAGACACATTCAAATCACAACAGAGTCCATTCTATTAATAGGGTATTTATACTAGGTTATCTTGAGTGTAATTTGGCAAACTCAAAGCAAGGGATAGGTGTTTTGATGGGAATGAATGAGGAAGTCCTTGACATTTTCTAGGAGCATTTAGCTGAGCTGCATCTAGCTGGGGAAGATTCTTCCAACACATAATATAAAAAATGCATATCCTCGAAAAGATTCTTATCAATTAAGTAACTTTCTCTTGCTAAGAAGCATTTTGATTGATTTGGTTTTCCATGTCCTAGAGGGTTGCATATTCTCTTAACATCTCCAGGATGAAAAGTAAATTAAAAATTTCCAAGAGGGAAGGTTGGTAGTGTTTGCAATCTAAAATATAATAGTAAAATCTGTTAGTTATCAAAAACCCAGTACACACTAACACTGTGTCAGCTTCCCTACACAAGTATCTTACATTCTAAAAGTCAGACTTCACAAGGCATACATGAGCCAAAGAACAAAATAACTGCATCAAGCCCACTTCACAAAGAACTTGAGGCTCATAGAAATTTGCAGCTTTCGAGTTCACATATAAGTGACAGGGCTGAGATGAGACCTCCTAGTCTGAATTCCTCTACAGCCCACACCCCACACTCTTCCACTCCTCTCAGCCTGAAGCTGATCTTGGGTCTATCAATTCATTTATCTTCTCACTACTCCGCAATGTCTCTCAGACAAAGAAAAGAAAGACCCTGTGGTCAAAACACTAAAAGCACGCCCTAAAAAGGAAGGTGAGAATGAGAAGGAGACATAATCTGTGACTGTCTGTGGGTTCATTGGCCTGGTGTCCTCCCACCTTTAGCCCCAGATTCTTCTGGAGCTGAGTCTACCCTGGTCCCTTCACATGGGTTCGGTCTAGCACTTTCCTACATTATCCTGCCCTTCCCCTGAGTCTTCTCCAGTGTGTCCTCCTGTCCAAACTGGAACTGACCCGCTGGCCAGCTTCACTGTGTCCTTCTCTGGAGCCTGCACTTGCTCCCAGAGGAACAGACAGCCCAGACTTGCCTACCTTTTCCTGGACATAGAAGCTTCCAACTGCCTAGGAGTCCCAGTCCTCACCTTGGATTCCCGTAACAGCAACAGCCTCTTCTGTGTAATTGTTCACTTCAAATAGTAAAGCTTAGATACCGCTTCATCTCTAGGGGCCTCCACCACACTCAAAGTGTTTTCAAATCTGCTAGTGAGGAGAGTCTGTTTTGGCACAGAGTTGACTGATATTTTATCCTGAAGCAGAGATATAATCCTAAAGTAGAGAAGAGGTTTTAGAAAACAGGTGAGATTGGAGAGGGGTTTTAATCAGGTGACTTTTTGAATGTTGCTACTGAATCTATACACTGATGAATGAGCCCAACTGAGCACCAAAATTCAAAGCTTCCCTCCTAGGTGTTAAATGAGGAAAGACAGAAATCACTGTGTAGCAAACATCTGAGGAGGGTGAATTCTTATAAATTCTGTAGTCTTTCCAGAAAGTTGTAGTAGTTTTCTATGGTAGCTGTAACAAATTACCACAAATTTAGTGCTTTACAGCAGCATGCATTTATTATCTTTGTAGGGTTTATTGTCTACATTTCTGTATGTGTGAAGGATGGAGCTGTCCTGCTAGATTCTGTACTCAGATTTTCACAAGGCTCAAATCAAACTTTCAACTGGCAGTCTTCTTATAATGCTCTGAGAAGATTCTTCTTCTGAACTCATTCAGGTTGTTGACAAAATCCAGTTCTTTGTGGTAATAAGACTGAAGTCCTGTTTCCTAGCTGTCAGCTGGAGCTGGCAGGCCTCTCTCTAGTCCTTGAATGTAGGCTCATATATTTTGAGTCAACAGTTGTAGGCTGAATTCTTCTCACACTGTAATCTCTCTAACTTCCTCCTCTGCTGCATCTCTCTTATGCCTCTGGCCAGAGAAAGTTCTCTGTTTGTAAATTCTCATGTCATGATACTGGACTTACCTGAATAATCTGATGTAATATTTTTATTTTAAGTTTAGTTACATAACCTTTAATGCTCTGCGAAGTGCTTTTGGTCATATAACAAAGCGTATTCATTCTTCAGGGATAAGGGTATAAGCATCTTTGTGAAGCAATCATTCAGCCTACTATTGATGTAGAAAATGTGTCTTTGGCAGACATACCAGCTTTGATAAGAAAAGAATTCTCCTGACTTTTGTTTTTATTTGCCCCAGGGGAAAATCCTACTTTTCAGTGTGTGTAAAGACACAGTGTACAAGTGTTTATGTGTGTTAATCAGGTGGTAGCACAGACTCCCAAGTTATGATTTAGACCATGCACTAAAAGGAAGAATACCATCCTCCATATTTTCAGAGTATTGCAAAGGTCAGTAGAGAAAGGTACTATTTAGTGATGAGAGACAAAGGATCATCCTTGCTGAGATTTTCATGGCTCTTCAGAAAATTTGTGTAATCCTACATTTGAAAACAACTGTCACACAGTACACACTAGAAAAATTTCCCAAATTGCAAGGCAATTTTGGCCTTCTCAGAAACTTCTCCAAGAATAGAAATTGTTGTCAAAACAAAGTTTTATATTTGCTTTTTATTGAGCGCCCAATAGGTAATAGATTGTGGGAGAGATGGCAAGTTTCCATCCACTTGCTTTGCTGCGCTTCCCGGGCATATGGGGAGACTATATCCCACAGTCCATTTGTTGTTAGAAAGGGCCACTGAAATATGAACAGAAGCTATGCTTGTCATTTTCAGGCCAAGGCATTTGAGAATCAGTATGTTAGTTCTATGCGTTCTGGTCTATTCAGCAGCAAACATGGAGCTGTCATAATGAGATGTGGCACCCCATGATAGAAGCAGCCTGGATCCCTGGGTCCCCTGACAGCGAAGACTCCCGTTAACTCACATCAAATTTTATGTGCGTGAAAAATAAACTTTTGTTGTGCTAAGACTTTAGGATTTCAGCATTCTTCCATTATTTCCACTAGCAGTGACTATCTGAATATGGTACAGCTATCATTTCTGTCATTAGTTTTACTCAAATATATTAATTACTCAAATATTCTTGATGCTTAAGAAAATTCTAACACTATGGATAAATCACAATTCTGCTCCAGTGTTCGGTTTCTCCAAAATTTATTCCCTACCAGAAGTAACCACCATTAAAAACCTCGTATTTTTATTTTTATGTATATTC